TATTTTTTATAAAAGTTTTAATTTTATAGTTGTTTTTCATTTTTTGTGCAAAAAATTTTTTAAACTCAATAAAAATACAAATAAAAGGAAACCCTAATCTATGTTATCTTTTGTACCAATTGCGACGCCACTGTGAACTATAATTGCGGAAAACTTGGGGGCAGTTATGCGTAACTGTGATTTTTCCCCCGTAACTACGCGTAACTGCGATTTTTTCATCGTAGTTGCGCGTAACTACGTCGCAATTTTCCGCAATTACGGGTCACAGTGCGATCGCAGTTACGGCGTAACTGCGCCGCAGTTTCATCGTAATGAAACACATGGGTATGCATTGGTTGAGTATACCGCGCAAATAGAAATCATATTGATTATGTGCAACAATGTAGATATTCGTCATGATTCTTATTGAACCTATATACATTTTATTTCATCCTTCGAATTTTCACTGTTTGAACCGGTGAATATTATCAACATCTATGGTGTTAAAAAAAACTTGATTGATCGTCTTTGACATCTGTTCACTGTTTTCAATAGAAAAACTCGAGGTTGCTAGGCCGTTTCATTATTGAATCATTGCAAAGTTCTACACCATATGGTTACACTTATAAGTGTTAATTAATTTTTATAAATATATCAATTTCATATTTTACAAAATATGGCAAATCATATAAAAAAACCTATTAATTATATTATTTTTCCTTTATGGTCGATGCTATCAGTATCACTAATTTTTAAAACATACATCGCACAATTCGGTTAGTATCGTCATTCTTTTCTTTTTCGACCAATCAAAAGTCTATATATGTATGAAGTGCAATACTTCTATTTTGTCCTTCACTAACATAAACATCAAGTCAATAGATGATTTTTCTAGGTGTGCCCTGTATGAATAATGGTAATGGCATACATCGAATGAGAGAAGAACGGTGAATCATGATGGTTACAAGTATAGTAAAAAGAAGCACTTCATCAATATAATATCTGGTGAAATAAAAAGAATTCATGTTGTTTTAGTATTATATTTGTGAAGGAAGAATATTGAAAAAAAAGTCTGTTACTACTGTTTAAAATAACATTTAAATTTTAAGTTTACTTTCTAGTAGTAACTTGTACGAGGAGAAGTCGATTGCGATATGTGTAGAATCTTTGTTGCACATAGCTCTTAAACAAATTCAATATTACAATTTTAAACCCATGCATTCAGAACATGTAAATTATATTCAACAGAAGACTACGACGTTCATACGTCTAGAACCTGTCAAAAAAAAACGGGGATTGAAATTAAATTAAGTCATTGATTTCCATGGGAAGCAAAGATGGAACATTCTTGGAATGAAAAGAAAAAATACCGAGGTCAATGGAAAGGATATGAAGAAAGCGGTAGAAAAAAAAGTTCGCCCGACTTAAAACTCTAGCGGAGTAGGCTGCTTCTTCAATGCATTTATCGCTTCGCTTGCTTCTTCTGCCTTTCATCGTCAGTGGGTTTATTACTGCTATTACTGGTAAAATAAAGAATGAAAAAGAAAAAAAAACGAGGAAGAAAAAAGCCTCGAGAAAAATATTTATTAACTGGGGTTCTTTTCTCTTTTTTATCATACAAGTAGCGTAGTTCGTCATACTATCTATATACTATAGTTGGCTTGGCATTCCTTTTTTTTATTTTCAAATTCATTTTCACATTCTCATAAGCCTTTACAAGTATTCAAACGAGATGATTGCATTTTGGACGGTTGCCATAACATTTTTTCTCTTGAACATTATTGGTAAGTTTGATGATTTCTTATTGTTCTTATCTAAATTACGTGTTACATAAGAGGAACAATTCGCAGAGCTTTGATCTAATTGACACGTTGCCAGAAAAGAATCTAGTTCTTGTAGAAATTGAAAAATGAATGAAGAACATAAAACATGTTTTATTCATAAGCCATTCGTTAAATAACTTCTATTGGAACAAAACGGAGTAAATGTTACATGAGAACGAATAAACACATTCGTCGATGTACATATAAAAAAAATCGACGAATGACCTTGTCTATGAGAGAATACAACCGTAACGCTATATAATTTAATAGACTCTGTCGAAGTAAATTTACACGATGGCATCTCTTGGCCTTTGCTAGAAAAATAATCTATCGGTGATCATGAATAGTTTTGTTTGCACTTTAAGTGATCCATGGGAATCGAGTTCGTCGTCATCGACGGCAAACATTGAATAGACCACTGGAATCTATGAGCCAAAAATCATTATCATCGACTCCTCGAATTCTCAATAATGCAGAACAATATTTTGCACAGGAAGAGGATAAAAATAAATTGGTATCTGGAAAAACTGTAGGTCGACAATTTCATCCACATCAACGCCATTATGGTTACGGATCAATACAAGCCATAAACTCTCCGTTTTCAGGTTCGGGTGTGGGTCTTTATCAATATGGATATGGAGAATGTAAGATTATATACACCTATGATAAAATGTATCGATTTGTTGATTTTATTTTAGACGGCCAACTTGGACAAGGATCAGGACAATATGCTGCTTATTATAACAATCGATATCCTGGATCTTATGGTTTTTATCCAGGTTTTAATAGTGTGGGTTATTATGGATCGAATAATCACGCACCACCAGGTGGAAATAATTATGGGTACTACATGTGGAATGATGGACGAAAACATAATATGAATAGGTTTTTTGTTTTCGTTCCTTTGTTGGTTAGCCTAGTGCCGTGCTTGAGAACGTAGAAAATTCGAGAAAACAATTCTCGGCGACTAGTAAACTCATCATCACTTTTTCTATGTAAATATTTGTACTATCACGTTTCTTTTATTCTGCGAGATTTTATTCCACCTATATTAAGTAAGACTATCTTCATTGTAAATGTATTATGCTAATGTACTTTATTTTGTTGTTAGGATTATCTCTTAGGGAAATATGCGTATAGCATGGACTGTTTTTTAGCAATTGTTTCTCGACTATTTCGATAAGTTTCTTCGAAAAATGAATTGCAGATTTAATATCAGGAAAATAATGAAACTACTTTTTTATATTAATAATAAAAAGATTTGACATTCGTTTTAAAGATCTCAAAGCGCAACGTTTAATCAGTGAATGCGTTAAAGTAAAAGAATGGAATTTCTATGTGAAAATTGTTGACGAAATAAACATTGCATATCCCATGGTAATATAAAGTATCTACGATCGGTAAACATGTAAATTAACTCAAGTCTAAACATAAGAAATCGAATGCACCAAGGATAGTAATATGAAAACAACGAAATTTATCGAGGATATTAAAGTGATAGCGATTTCTAGACGATCAGGCATAGTATGAAAATTTGTCATTAATAAAGATAAAATTGCAAATGATATGCAATTAAATAAAGCTTATTTTCACGTTGAACTGCTCTTATTGTCCAGCTACATATGTGTAAAAGTCAAAATTCGTTTTAAGTGACGCAGAATAGTAAAAACAGACCTTTTTTTATCGTTTACATTCAAAATGATCAATGAAAATTCGATGTCGTTTATGAATATTATAAGCGATCGTAATTTTGACATGTAAACTAGAGATAATCATGTTCGTCACCAAATGACAGAAACTTTTGTTTCATTAACATTTTCAAACGCCATAGAAAGAATCAATTAGAAATATTGATCGCAATCAATGATGAATAAGAGAAAAACCAAAGATTGTGTTCAAGTTATTATTACAATTCAGTGAAGTTTTTGTGATGAATTTTACGCAACGATCGATTTCGAGAGAAAACAAATAAAGAAGTGAAAATGTTTAATTAGTCGATACTTTTGTATGTCTAGGCTTGCTGCATTAGCGGATTGAATGCAGCAGAAAATTTCAGATAGAAAACATACATTAATAAGCCGTGCATAGGAAACATTATCAACATATTGACAGCATTAATAATTGCCACTGGTGATGCACATGCTGTTTCCTATATTGTACTACATTGTAAATGATATTTACCATCAATCAACTTACGAAATCTTGTGGAGACATGATCTGTATGGGTGAATCGCTATTGTTCACAGGGATTGTAGTTGTATTTGCCAAACTGCCGCTGTTATGAACGAGAAAAATATTTTTTATATTTCGTTTTCGATAATTTTCATTTGATGTAATCAAGTAGTTTTATATATTACTGTACAGTGTGGGGGGGGGGGGGGGGGTNCCCCCCCCCCCCCCCCCCCCCCCCCCCCCCCCCCCCCCCCCCCCCCTCGAATTCATTACGTGTTGATGAAGGTGCACCAGTTGTTGTCGGCTGAAACACACTAGAATTAAATACGAAAATTGATAAAATCTATTCGAATTACCAAAGTATTAACAGGCGTAGTTGATTGAGGCCGTGTTGTCGTTGTTGCTGTAGTCGATGAAGCAGCTGAATCCCAGATATCAAATGTCCAAAAAGTAGGATCTGAAATTGGCGAGGATTCAGGTTCTAAAAATTGAAGTGGTCCTACATGTCCTGTTCCGTTTTATTGAACTAACTTCCTGCAAAAGTCAGTACCACTAGCAACACCTGCATCGACAAGAAAGATAGTTGGTTCGAAAACAAAAAGATCAAAGAAAACTGCTTACCACTATCGAAAGTAACATAATAAGAATGTCCAGGAATCCATGGCGGAGATGGAATATAAAAAACTATGGTATTACCAGTATATATCACATGAGCATCATAACCACAATCAATCGTATAGACACTTGTATTAGTCGCAGCGTCATTGAAATAAACATTTGTGGAATTTCTAGGTGGGCGATTAACTGTATTTGTTGCTATGATCATGAAGTAAAGAATTTTCGGTACAAAAGAAAAATAGAATTTCTTAACGAAGTATACCGTGAATAGAAAAAGTCGTTTGATTAGAAGAAATAGTACCGATGGGTGAAGCGGTGCCTTGAATGGACGTCGCTCGGATTAGATCAGGAGAATTGTAACCAACCAAAAATGTAATACACCATCGGTTGAATTGAACAGTCGTGTTGTCGATAGCACCAGCGCAAAAACCTTGTGGGCCCACTTGATCAGCTGTTGGGATCCAGCTAAGAACAATTTGATAGAGACCTTAAATTACAAAGCTAAAACCATGAAATGCTAGAAGTAGCGTCCTATTTCCGATTTGCTGAATCGGACTTTTTGTTAAGCCAACAGGTGAACTTGTAATGAAATCAACGATACTTGTGCCACTACAATAAACCTGTACTATAACTAATTCATTAACAGTTGAACCAATTGGCGTTCCAATACAAGCTGAAATACGAAACAAGCAGTTTTTTTCATGTTACCGATTGGAAGGAATTGATCAAAATGTGCATTTTGAATTCAATTTACTAGTATTGTGTTCTGTTTTCTTACCTCGGTTAGGTCGACTGCCAATAATAGCAGGAGGTGTACTGCAACCAGAAGATGCTATATAACCATAGAAAAGAAATTGAATAGGAACAGAACTCATTGGTGTCGGTGATGTAGTCGTATAAAAATCTTCGATTTGTAGAGCAACAGCAACACACATACTAGCTTGAGTTAGTGTAAATACAAGAGTACAATTATCAGAATATAACATAGCACCTGGTACACCTGAGCAAACAGCTGCACATTCATCATATCCATTGATATTACTGGTGGATCCAATAGACCAACGGCATCGTACTGTATCGGATGAGTCAAAGTCGGACATTTGAATAACATGCACCTGCTGGGCATTGATAGGTTTATTATATAGCGGGAAGTGTAGTCGCAATAGGACTGCTGTTTATAATGCCATCTGCACGAACAATGGTATTGATTAGACTAACAAGACTCCGATAGCACCAGCGCAAAAACCTTGTGGGCCCACTTGATCAGCTGTTGGGATCCAGCTAAGAACAATTTGATAGAGACCTTAAATTACAAAGCTAAAACCATGAAATGCTAGAAGTAGCGTCCTATTTCCGATTTGCTGAATCGGACTTTTTGTTAAGCCAACAGGTGAACTTGTAATGAAATCAACGATACTTGTGCCACTACAATAAACCTGTACTATAACTAATTCATTAACAGTTGAACCAATTGGCGTTCCAATACAAGCTGAAATACGAAACAAGCAGTTTTTTTCATGTTACCGATTGGAAGGAATTGATCAAAATGTGCATTTTGAATTCAATTTACTAGTATTGTGTTCTGTTTTCTTACCTCGGTTAGGTCGACTGCCAATAATAGCAGGAGGTGTACTGCAACCAGAAGATGCTATATAACCATAGAAAAGAAATTGAATAGGAACAGAACTCATTGGTGTCGGTGATGTAGTCGTATAAAAATCTTCGATTTGTAGAGCAACAGCAACACACATACTAGCTTGAGTTAGTGTAAATACAAGAGTACAATTATCAGAATATAACATAGCACCTGGTACACCTGAGCAAACAGCTGCACATTCATCATATCCATTGATATTACTGGTGGATCCAATAGACCAACGGCATCGTACTGTATCGGATGAGTCAAAGTCGGACATTTGAATAACATGCACCTGCTGGGCATTGATAGGTTTATTATATAGCGGGAAGTGTAGTCGCAATAGGACTGCTGTTTATAATGCCATATGCACGAACAATGGTATTGATTAGACTAACAAGACTCCACAAGCCACCACCACCAATAACAAGATTTGTAAGCCAATCACCCGAGCTAAAAGCTGCATTCAATGGTACTGTGCGCGTATAATAGACCTCTCCTGAACTAACGACACCACCAAAACTATAATCAGTACAGTATGTCTGTGTATAGATTCGATTAGAATTCCAATTAGAACATGTGCCTGATACACAGAAAACACTGCTGAGATCACGGATAACACCTAACGAAACTATATAAACATCATCGCAAAAGTAAACAGGACGATTCCATGAGTATCTTTGGCGGATTTGAATGTCAACAGTACTTCCAGAGGGCGTACTGTTGAAGGGACGCCTAAAGAAAGTATATATCCATCATAGCATTACAAAAAAAGACGAAACCATTTGAACTTACCAAGTGATTGTATCACCACGAAAATGAGAATTCTCAACAAATGAAATACATGCTAATACGACAACAATATTGAATTGGATAATCATAATTCACGACATGATCACAAGATTGTTTTCTTTTGTTTATGAAAAACTGATTGTTTTCTATACTAGTATTTTTGACTGAAAAAAATCAAACTGCAGCAAACATATTTTTATAAGAATCTGTTTGAAGCAATTCAATTTCAGCTATTGTCATTTAATATCTAAAAAAAATATGCTTACATGAATGCTATTTTATTTTATCTTGAGCTAATCGATCATGGAAAATGCGAGGCATCCGTAAAAGCAATTGCTTTTGTTTCTTTTAAGAATGACGTGAAACCTTGATTAAATTGATTGAGAAAAAAATTCTTCCAAAGAATGTATACATTATCATCGTTTAGGAGGCATATAAGTAATTTTGAATTGTTTCTATTATTCAGAATTACAACACAAAAGAAAGCTTTTCTTTATGAATGAGTAAAATTTTCAAAATGCGTCTCGTTGCACTTTTTCTCTTTGCTTTTTATTGTTAAATTGTTCAAGAATTAAAAACAGTAATATCCTCTATTTGCGATATCAAAAATTAGTTCACTCCTCTAATACTATCAGGGTGGCCAGATCAAAAATTGAAAAATCAGAAAATATTTTTTCAAAATCAGAAAACGATCAGAAACTTTCTCTGAAAAATCAGAAATTAATCAGAAAATGGCAGATTTTGACAAATTAGTACATCTTCCGCTAAAATAGTGGCATCCAAAATTCTGCTGCATTTCTGTTCACCGACTGGAACTTTATTTTCAAAGATATTTAAATAAAACGAAAGAAACTATAGTGAATATATCGTTTAGCTAATACGCAAACATGAATAAAAGGTACTTAATGTTGAGCTTCTTTTTAAATTTAAAACTCATTCACAAAAATGAGCAAAACTAAATCACATGCATTCTGCGTAGATTAAGAAATCCAACAAGAAAAAAACGTTAAATTCCATCATCTCGGTATTGTTATTCATATTTCGTATCATTTGGAATTTGCTCTAGGAAGTTTGTTTAAGATAACATATGCTAATAAAGCCTTCTCAAGAATAATTATCATTCATTTTTATTTTAAGTTAAGCATTATCTGGTTTCATATTATCGGATTACGATAATCGGACTATAAATGCTTTATATAACCGGAAATCAATTCGACGCTAGAATTCGAACGAGGAATATAAAAGATGATTAATACAGAAAATTGATGAAACACTATTGATTTATTATAGTAATGGGTTATGATCGTACCTAATTTCAGTGGCAAAGCAGCGATCTGAAAATATTCCAAATTCAGAAAAAATCAGAAAGTCAGAAAAATATCAGAAACATGTTCAAAATTCAGAAATTTTCCCTAGTTTTCAGAAGATCTGGCCACCCTGAATACTATATTCTATTTTTCCCCTCATATTGTTAAGAGTTATACCATTATTTGGCGTATGTGTCTGTCTTTTAATCGCTCTAGCTTCGTACGACTCATCATCAGTCCTGAGTGCATCTTCACACAAAATAACTTCGAAATAACATCAATTTCATATGAAAAACATGAAACATGGCTTGATTACTCGGAAATAACGACATATCAACTACATTGCCAATCATAGTTTTGAAGTGTTGGTTTTTAAGAAAAATGCTATAGGAGATGCTATCGAAATTTTTCCAACGGCATTCTAGGAAAAAAGCATACTTGAAGTTTATTACTATCTGATGCAGCTCAACATCGAGATTCATAAGTATTTTGGTTTTTTTCTCTTCAAAATGTAATATGAAGCTCTAAAGCTAAACTTTTAAGAACCGATCGAATACCATTTCTTCATAAAATTACAATAGGCACAAACGTATGTTTGCCTAATGTAATATGTTGCTAAATAGTTCTTCGTTGAATATCGGTCGAGAAAAATCAACTGTTTGAATACAACTCATATAATCAAAGAGATCGATTCGGAGCGTCTTACTATTGAATAAAAATCCAAAGATTCATAATGCAATGAAGTCTTAACAAGAAATATTCTAATTAATCTGCACTGAATCCATCCGCTTACATTTGTTTTCCGAGAAAAATATTTTGTTCTCCTGATGTATAATGACATCGTCTAATACTAGATCAGCATGCTGTCTATGCACCAAAGAAAGAGTCTTGTATAAAAATGTGGCAAATATACATGAGTTTTTTGTTTCGATTATTTGATGTTATTCAAAGAAAAAGAAGTTCCAAGAAAGCATAATCTAACACAATAAATTGTCGAATGGGAAGAAGATTCATTTCAGTGGATGTAGCAAACAGCAGAAAAATCTCGAAGAGTATTAATTGAATATATAAATAACCATTTTTTTATTGAAGCAGAAAAACAAATCGGCAAGAAAATAAACCACGCATGATATTAATTCAAACCGAACTCAAACAAATTTCGCAGATAAACTTGACCAACACTCAACCATTTCTAACACGAATGATTCTACATCGGCTCTTAAACATACTAGTTTGATCAGTGTATCATTTGAGAAGTGCAACGAAGCAAAAGCGCAGTTTTGTTTTTTGATGATTAAGTATTTCTAAAGTAGGGTATGAGCTTTTTTCAAAAGATTCGTTTAAGAACTAACTCTCGAGGGTGTCATGCTGATCTTATATGGCATCCAGACCTTGCGCTGATATGCCAAGTCTTGTTACTGAGTGCTATCCAAAATGACTGACTATTGTGTTATTCAGTTCAAACAGTACGATATCAAGCAACTAATCGAATGTATTGATGTTCGTTTAGCGGTTGATCGAGCCAACTTAAACATGAACCATAATTCTGAGCTGAAAACTTATGAATTTAAAATTCTAGTCTTCTAATAAAAAAATTAGTCATAGCCTATGTTCAGAAACTGGCATTACGCAAATAGCTTACCTCGAAAATGACAGTATCTCTTTGTTTAATTTCAATTCTTACTTATGTCAGTAGCTGAATGGATGTTTGAACGAAAAATAAAATTGACACTTGCATAACGACTTGAACAGTCTCATGCAGAACAGTCGCATACACGATGTTTCATATTAGTTAGGAATACCCGTTAATCGAATGAAGGATAATAATAGATCTAAAGGTGTCGTATTGGCATTAAGTTAAGAATAATACTAATGCTCATACTAATTCTGATCTGACACCCCTAAATAGATCTAAGCAGGCCGCGATATCTGTATTGAGTTTCAAATGTTACTTTTACATCATAGGATCTATATTAGTTGTTATTATAATAGAGATTACAAAAAGAGATTTTCTCAACAATACATATATTAGATGAATAACAACTTCTTGAATTAGAAAACTATATTATTCATGAGCGGAGCTGAAATAAATAGAAATTGATTTTAACAATAACTTTTCTTTTGTAAGTTTTTTGATGAAAAATTAAGAATAAAATGTTTTGCTTTCGCTGGTCATATCTATTTATAATTGTGTTGGAGCAAAACGATTCCCACATTCCGATTGACTATTATTCATAACGCCGAGTATGTTAATAATAGAAAAATAGCAAAAGAAAAAACGTGCTATATAGTTACTTCTTTTCATTGGAGAAAACCCAAGATTGATTACAGCAGTTATAACATCACTATCAGTCTAGAGCAACCTAGGAGATTAGTTCGAAATGAATACAATGTTTTACAGATAATAAAGCAATCGTTTTATTAAATGATTTTGCTATTTTATAAACGAACGCGGTAGTTATATGAGTATCAATTTACGAAAAACGATTTAGTTAGTAGTGCATTATCAAGTAGTTTGCAGGATATTTGTGCTACAAAAAAATTATGTTATAAATAAATCTCCTTCATTTAATCAAACAGAAAATATCATCTTCTTCTTTCAATTGAGTTCGAACTGTTTCAAACAATCTTTACCTTCAATTTAATATATTAATTAAGCGAAGTATTTCTGTATCCTCATATCGTGCAAAAATTCTTCTGCTCAGTCAATATCGCTGATTTTTGAAAAGCAAAATGTGACCTTTCAAAAGGATTCAGCGATAGTACACCTGAACCAATTTAGAGTTAAAACTAAAAAATTCTGCATGTTTATCCTTGTTCTAATAATTTGAAAACGTTTTTATGTAACTTAAGGCCAAATTCGCTTTAAATCAAAGCACAAAAGTATAGAAATGAATTTGTCTCATTTGAAAATTTCTTTTTTATTAGCATTTGCACTCAGAATAATCGGGAAAACATTAAAGGCCGATAAATTAAATTTAAAAATTCTTAGTCATATATGAGACATGAACAATTACAAAGTGCCGATTTCAGTATCATAAAATGTAAAATAATCGCACCACCACCACCACCAGCTACTCTTCTTCTTGTACTCAGCGGTTGATTACTTTAAAGAATAAAATGCACTTTTGTCGTGTAAGCAAAAACATTTGCACCAGGTGCTTTCTTCCCATAGACATCATATTTATTGCCAAGATACGAAATAGATTTAGTTTTAATACTATCTGTAGAAGAAAAAAACTCAATGCACAAGGCTATTGCTTTGATTGTTCTGGTTGTTTTTGGAAGTGTAGCAGCTCATACACGTAAAATTAATGCTCAACCAAGTCATATTCAACGTGTTGCATCGTCCTTAAAACAAGAAAGTAACGGCATTGATTGGTGCCCACAATGTGTTAACACATTTGATCAATTAATCTATTATGTGCTCGATGGCATTCTCGAATTGGGTATTATTAATACATGTGATGATATATGTAACTATGTTACTGAAAAGTCGGGATCACCTGTTTTATACGCTATTTGTGCAGTCGGTTGTGATGCACTGGGAATTAACGAATTTATTAAAATAGCTAAAGAAGTTGATCTTGATCCAATTTATTTTTGTGAATCTTTGAAAGTTTGTCCCAGTAAGAGAACATATTTTATTCCTATTAAATTAAAAAACAAACTGCGCTTTACTTGCTTTAGTATTTGATAGTGGTGATGCTAAATTTAAATCATTTGTTATTTTACCACCGCACGCTCCAGTTTATAGTACTTTTGTTATTGATTTTGCTTATGAATCCATGAATGGAACTGGTACTGGTCAATTGGTTGTCAGTATTCAAACTATTGATGGTGTTGAACTTTCGACTACTCTTTTGATTGAACCACAAAAGCCAGGTAGATATGCTGAACGTATTAGTGTTGATGCTAGTCCAGATCCAGATTGTGATCCTGCTGCCCGTAAGACTTTATAGAGTATTTTAATTTATAAAAAGAACGTTTTTTCGTTTTAATCATAGAACAATGTGAAGAATGGTTTCCAGGCGTGTATAATGTTACGGTTATGGTTTGTAATGGAGAATGTGGTTCACATCATCCTCATAGTCAAATTTATGATACGGTTAAAGGCTCATTTCAAATTGATTAATAATAATAAAAACAAGGGTGTTCACTTCGCTTTCTTACACAATTGCGCTGTATGATTAAGATATTTGATTTAATTATAACTAAGTTAATATATTTGGGTTTTTTTTCATTGTAATAAAATTCTTTTCTGCTAAAAAAATATTTAATATCATCAGATTTGTTTTTGATAATTATATGCATAATGTATTAGAGTATGGGTGTATTATTCATTGAATAAAATGGTAAACAGACATCGAAAACTCACAATAAGATTCATACAATCAAGATATAAGTCACTTTTCCTTTCGGACACAAATGTAGTTATGACTTCCTAGGTTAACCAAGACGGATATTCATATTTTTATTACAACCTAGCCGTGTATCAGGGTAACATCCAGCATTTATCCCCAATATCGGACGCATGACTTCGATATCATTGTTCGATCTGGGCTTTCTCACTCCCACGATGCGTTCTTCAGGTTTGGGCGTGAAGACATTGTGAATCTATAGCTAAAATCAGATCCAGACCCTTACGTAAAGCTGAAAATTTGTAGATATACTTAATAGAATAGTCATTTTATTTTTATTACGCAAATTCAAAAGAGGACGAACATAGAATAGTGTGAACTGATTTAATTCCAAGTTTTGATCACACTCAATGATATATTTCGAAATTCTCTAAGAGAAATGATACATGTAATGTAATGAAGATATATTTGATAGTGGGAATAATCTCTTACAGTATAACGCTGTTAAGTGAATTTAATAAATGCGTAGAAAAGTAATATTATTTAATATTTTCCTGAATAAATTGTTTTAAAGCATTCTGACGCAATTGATTACAGTCAAAGGTGATGAGATCTATGCCTTGGATCTGCGTATGACCGCATTGGTAAGTTTTTACCCCTGTGTTTGTGTCCAATATCACCACTGTGTCATCGTCATACAACATGTCACTATTAACTTCAATGCCAAGATTATTTTGAAGTCGTCGAGTGTGGCCGTAGCTAATAAGAGTTTCGATTCCTGTTTCTCGGTTGCGTATCGTTCTGGCCAGAACTGGCAATCCTTTCAATAATTTCAAATCTTCAATGACCAGTAATTTCATTTGATAGTATCCATCAACATTTGGTCCAGGCTGAGTGCCATAATTAACAATTGAAACGTACCCATGATCCTCGATATTGGTTCTACCAAACACGTATGTTGGTGTGTCATCATCGAATTGACTTCTTTCTAAATTGTACTGCGCGACAAATTTTAATTTTGATGTATCTTGATTTGCGATATTAAGCGATAACGATGGAAATTTGAAGACTCTCCATTCACATAATTTCATCATACGACTTGAATTTGTATAATATTGAACTGGCGAATAATACTCTATGGATTGAACGAGATATTCAGCCTCTCGTTCAATAGATGTCACACGAAATGCATCACGGAAAAAACCCTGTTCATTAATTTGAATTCTTGATGGCAATTGTTTCAATTTCCGAACGATTTCATCGGATTTCATACGATACAATGATAAGTTCACTCTACATCCAAAATATTCATCATTGCCAATAACAGTCTTTAATTCTTCGGGAAGAACTATTGAAGCTCCGGCAAGTATTTTAAAACACACATTAAGAAGTGCTGACGACGGAGTTGAATTGGAAGCAATAGCTTCATCGATATGATTTATAACAGGTTCAATATTAATAATGGAATTATATTCTTTGCTGACTACTTTGCAAAAAAATAGTGAGCTAGCTGATAGATTGTTTTCATTTGGTGTTGTTGTAAAGAAGGTACCCCATATGATCATGATAAGAACGTACATAGACATAATTTTACCTGTTTATCTCGATTTCTGTAAAAGAGTATGCAAAGGAGAAAAACTTTCTACTTATATATCTTTTTTATACTTCATCTCTACTTGTTTTTTTCCCATTATGACTAATGCCTAGTTGGAATGACGTATATATGATCGCATGATTCAATGGTCCAATGAATGCGATGCAGAACAGTGTTTCTAACAACAAGTATACACAACAAGAGCAAAATGTCCGGAACACCTGCTGTTTCCGAAATACCCTCTGATTTGCATGTTGATCAGAAAACAAAAATGTAAGGCTTACACTTTGAAAAAGAAAATAACACTTCGACTTTAGATCACGAAAACGCATTTCGCTAAATCTTTGTCTGTTTGAACGGAATTTAATTACTGCCATTGTCATCAGCACTTGCTGTATCAAAAGATTCACATTGTGAGGTCGAAGGTCTACGTAAAAATGTATTTATTGATTCATCAAAAACCGTACATGCTATGAATGAAAAGTATTCAACGAACTGTGATAATATTGGATAAAAAATAGCAACGCCTAGTAAGGCTCTTGTTTGGCTGTTTATAATCTATGTGACTTTCTTTCTCTATGAAACAGATTAAAAAGATTTTTTCTGATTATCTTTCTAGATTATCTGAACTCTTTTCGTTTATTTACACTTTGATACACTTTGTTTATAAAATCAAAGGGTGAAGATACACGTTTTCACATAAACAAAATGTCCAAAAACATTTTATTTCAGATTTCTATTAGAAACACTGATGCAGAACAAACAAAAAAAGAAGAAGAAAATTGAACATCCATGTCAGTTTGTGCACGCACCGCATTGATATTAGGTAAATTTTTTCTTTCTGTAAATCTAAAAAACATCGAACTCATTATATTCTATCCAATGAAAACGCAGAAAAAATAAAATATTCTCTTTTTTCAAAAATTAATATGGAGTGTTCTCGTGCCTGATAAATGATGATTTGAAGTATGAATTTATGTTTACAGTGAAATTAATTTATGCATAAACAAAATATTAGGCATCCTAATACAAAATATGCTAAAGTTTTTTCATAATTTATATTTGTTTTTAAATTTAATGATCATTAAATTAAATTTATTCCTAATTCAGATCATGGGGAACTCGATACATTGTAATCTTGAATAATTTATGCTTCTTAGTTCACTAAAGTAAAAGATTCAGCTAAGATATAAAACTTTGTTCGAAACTCAATGTGGAATATTTCTACGTTTTTAGTTATTAAATTCAAATAGATTTGAAATAATCTACAATAAGAATAAACTAAATTTTAGGTTATTTTAATTGAAAGTAAATACTAAACTATCATCTCTATATCGGAATTTAGAATAGACGCCCTATCACAATTAGCGCATATGTGCTCCACAACTGCGCACAGCTTGATATGTACGATTTCTTATATTTCGTTTTTTGACAATTGTCGAAACAATTTTTGATTTGTTTTGCTGGTTCGACGATATAAAGTCGAATCAGTTGCTCTCGATATGGAAGAACATACTCATAACTCAGCAGAATTTTGTGAGCTGAAAATTTGTCATTCGTGTTGTGTAGGACGTGAAATAAGAATTTCTTCAATGTTTGCAAGAAAACACTTTAAGCATTATATGCAATGAGTCATCGTAAGGGAAAAATTGCAAAAACAAAATGAATGCGCACGGTGGTACTGTAATTGCCAAAGAATACTTTTCTTTAAATCTATGCGAGTAGAAAGCAAATAAAAACGTGTGGGGCACTCCCCAGGTCGAGCGATCTGAATCTCGGATCCTGTCGGATCCCATCGGAAACCTAGAGTAATCCGATATTTTCCGATAGGAATCCGACAACTTCCGATGGGTTCCCGTCGGAAGTTGTCGGATTCNTTGAAACCGGTGGAGCGGTGCACTGGGTCCCGGTGTATCGGTGGACCGGGGCTCGGCTCATCGGTGAAAGCCGGAAAGACTACGAAACGCCTACGGTGAAGGCCATTTTTTTCTAAGATTCATAGATATCTCTATCAGTGTGCTCTGGTAGCACCACTGCACCGGCCTTCACCGTAGGTGTTTTGTAGTCTTTCCGGCTTTCACCGCTCCGACTTGGCCCCGGCCCACCGTTTCACCGCTCCCACCGGGACCCGGTCCACCGATGCACCGTTCCACGGTTTCACCGGTCTCAAGCGGTGGAACGGTGAACGATTAATCGTCACCGTTGCATCCCTATTTATGGCCAACTCGAGTGATGAACAGAGCGTACGCATCATTCAAACTACCGATGCATATTTGGAAAACGTTTGCCTCGTCTGGTTAGATGTCCAATTGGATACTACCCATGATTGTATAGAAGCCAAAACGCGTCTTCTTTCAATTGTCGACACATTTCAGACTTTCATTGATGTGGATAAATGCATCACTTTACTCACTACCAATCCGCTCAACCAACAATTCTGCGTGATTGTGTCTGGTGTTTTCAGTGCTCAGTTGATTTCTTCTATCGTGCATTTACCGCAATTTATTACAATCGCAATTTACTGCTTCAGCGCGCTAAAATATACCAGTGAATAATATCAAAACCAAGACAAACTGCTCGGAATTTTTGTTGACCTTGATTCTATCCTTACTGCCTTGGGAAAGTGCGTTGCTGCCTATCTTAGTTCGCTGTCCACTGTCTCCACTTTGACGGTTAGCACAAATGGTAGTTCATTAAAATACTTGTCACAAGAGAATGCCATTTTCGTTTGGTTTCATTTGCTTTTTCATGCTCAATGTCGACTACCACGCACCACAGAAGCTCGCATCGGAATGATAGACGAATGGAAGCGTCTTTATAGTGATAATGAGGTTCAACTAGATCAGATCAATGAATTTTCAGCAACATATACGCCTGAACAAGCAGTTAGATGGTGTACATGTGATTCGTTCTTTTATCGTATAGTGAATCGAGCTTTGCGCACACAGACAATCGATACAATCTTTATTTTTTATCCATTCATTGGAGATCTACACGATGAACGCGTTTCCTTACATCGAGAGTTTCTCGAGCTTGGAGCGCCTAATTTCCTCAACGTGTATCGAGGTCAACATATCCATGCGGATGGGCTACGAAAGATAACTAACAATATATGCGGTCTCTTATCAATGAATTCTTTCTTTTCGACTAGTTTTGATCGCGCTTTGTCACGTGTACTTGCACAACAAAATACTGCTCTAGAATCGATTCTTTACGAGATTACGATTGATACGGATGTACCAGCTGTGCTGTTTAGCAATGTTGGAGAACATAGTTATCTTCCCGGGGAACAGGAATTCATTTTCTCGGTGGTTGCCGTATTTCGCGTGGAGTCAGCTTGCCAAGAGATTGATGAATATGGAAATGTGTGGATTGTAAAACTACGTTTGATTGATGAGCGTACTGAACAACAATTGACTGATCTTTTAGACTATTTTAAGCATGATATTGGCGAGAGAGGCTCTCTTTTAACACTCGCTGAATTACTAGCCGAAATTGGCGATTATGAAGGCTCTAAAAAATTTATAAAACGAATTCGTACCGGTTTTTCCACTGACGATCCAGAGCTACTCGATCTATTCGACGTTGATGAAAATAAAATTGAAATTGCTATATCGTTACTTGAGAAAAAGCTAACGACGTATGAATCGACTAAAGCGCCGTGTATGCCTGCTGGTGATATGCTAAAGGCCAAGATACTTAGCAATGCTGCAATTACCCAGTGTGATATTGGCAACTATGATCAAGCTACGTTGTTATTTTGTCGCGCAATTGGCCTTGGCAAAGCATCTCCTTCTTTGGATAAGAGACGAATTCTCTCAAGCTTGATCAACATTGGTTCACTGATCTACAAAAAGGGAGACATCATGAAAGCACTAGAGATCTACCAAAAGGCTCTTGATGCGTTCGAGGGTGTACAAGTGCCTGCTACCCATCCAATGTTAGCGGATATTCATGATCGAATAGGGATTTCGAATGAGCGTTTAGGAAACGCGCGAGAGGCTATTTCGCACTACGAGAAGTCGCATGCTATTCGTCTTCTCAGTTTACCTGCCGGGCATTCAAGCCTGGCTCGTAGTCACTCAAATTCATGTCGGATACATCGAGCCAATAGCAATTATCCAGTTGCCCATCATCATTTTAAGAGTGCTCTAGCGATTGAGGAACGGCCAGAATCACGAACCGATCCAATTGATCTCTTCAACACTCTCACTGGATTGGCCAACATTTCTCGACGTCAGGGGAAATCCAATGAATCGTTACAGTATTTAGAACGAGCCACAAGCTTGGTAATATCTGATAACCATCCTGATATGGCCCAAATTCACCAACTGATGGGCGCATTGCAGTGCGATCTTGGAAATTTTGACAAGGCTCACGCAGCGTTTCAACAAGCAATTGTCATCAGCAGGAAATCGAACAATGATCTTGAATTAGCTGAGATCTTGGTTGATTTTGGTCGAGTACAATGTAGAATGGATAAGATCGAGCAAGCAATCAACTCCTTTCGTCGGGCATATGTAATTCGATAAAAATTTTTGCCTGAATCTGGGCCAACTGTTGCTGAAGTACACTATGAAATAGGTAGTACATACTTCAAAACGAATAGACCAAGAAAAGCTCTATGTCACTTGAGCCACTGTCTTGAACTTGAAGAAAAATCGTTACCTGAGAATCACGTAGACCTAGCACAATCAAACAATAGCATTGCAGCGGTACTTCATAGTATCGGTCTTTACGATGAAGCACTGGTGTAACGATAAATAAGACTCTGTTGAGTTTATATCGTATTGACAAACTGGGTAGAGGTGGAGTAGCTTACAGCCACTCACGGCAATGATGTTTATTCGTTTATTCACATATCCAGAGTGTAACAACTTCATACATAACACACGTATATATAGGAGAGAGAGAGATAGAAGAGAGACAGGAGAGAGATATATTATAATAATGGAAAGAGAATAGAAGGAAGACGAAGGAGAATCATCGAAGCGTGCCATCAATATCGGCACAACTGGTATTTGCTGAGAAAGCACTCCAAATCGTCCTTCTAACACTTGACGTAGCAGACCCACTCGTTATCCTGTACCAAAAAAACTTGACCTCCTTGAAGGAAATACTCAGTCACAGACATCATTAAATGACTCGAAAGGATTTGCGCCTACGTGAGGGTGTTTGGAAGGTAATTAATAGTTACACTCGCGGGGTTATACATGAGTTGCATTTTTTACCAGCAAGAGGTTGCGCTAACAAACGTTTTGTCTATCAAAAGCTGTTACAGTATATTCTCATTCCCTTTTGTATTCTTTTCTATTTTTCTGTTTGCTGTCATATTCATTGATAAATACTTATTTTTCAAGAAAATTCGTATGTCTTCTGTTGCGTAAGTCGCAGCTTAAGTATACAAACGCCAATTGAAGCGTGGTTCCAATTTTCAACCAAATAATCTTCATTTTGCATACTCATGCTTTTGGGATAGTGAATAACACGCGTATTGTGAAAAAAGTTATGAGAGCATTAAGATAAGAACTGTTGGATCTCACCATATATTTCTTCAACGTCATTGCATATCAAAGGTAAGGCGATGACAGTTGAGTAAGACGCGGCGATAAAAGCAACAATAGTTCTCCCATTTTAACAATGCATGGCAAACATTACATTCATCTACGTTGGCTTCCTAATACTACTTCCCATGACTCGTCAATATCAATGTGTACAGTATTGTGTGATGTATTTAACATTCGATGAAACATTCGATACACTTCCATCTACATGTAATGCAACATATCAGAATAATGAATGTTATTCACATATTGGTTTTAATTATGTGACAAACTTAATCCAAATTACGTTTGGTGAACAAAGTATTGAAAATAGTAATGCTGGACCAGGCGACTATTATATATCACAAGAGACAGAAATGTGGCATGAAGCATATAATATTCAATGGACAACATCAAAACATAAATGTTATCATGGTGATTTGTGTGGTTTTGAATATTCTAAAGCGAAAATATTGCAAATGCGTAAATTAACAACAGGCTTTAATCAATTTCAACAGAAATTGGCGTCTGCTTTGTTCTCAGCAGGTTCAGGTGAGGATGAAACCTATAAAGCAAAAATCATATTGAGCAGTTTCCCGTCTCTTGAAAACATATATAGATCAATACACACTTCATATGATAATTGATTATAGTTGACGAGTAATCAGAAAGCTTTTTTTCATAAAATTCTAGTGTCTTTTTTAATTATTTGCAAGCATTTCAAATAGATTAAAAACTCTAAGTTAGAATAAGAATTTCGTGCACTTTTCAAATACATACTCTGACGTATCGTGTTAAGTCTTGTTCTTGAGTAGTGACGAAGCGTTTCAACGATTTGAAAACATACTTTGACAGCAAAACATACCCCTGTGTTACTTATTATATTTTCAAGCTTGACTTTCACCTTCCTGAGTACTCGAGATCACGACATGACATAAAATTTTAATTTTTAACCAATAGTTTTTCATCTTTCTTAAATGCTTACATATTTATTACTAGATCCAATGAACTTAAAAAATGTATGTGAAAAATCTAACCAAACTTAAAAGACACTTTTTACATTGTATAAGTAAACTTATCATATAGTTAAATTTAACCACTTTTCTTTGTACGCTATTAGAATCGTTGTTAATCTGTTGTCATTCGAGTAATGCCACAAGTTAATTTCACTGCTTGAGCAAGTTGATATAAACCTCAATAATTGTGTTCGTCTGCGCCAACTTATTATGCCGTAGTCTTTCATGCATTCTTTTTTAAATAATTTTCATTTAGAGGCAAATATTATCCGTTGTTTATCAAAAGATGGCCTAATTATTACATGTGGTGAAAATATAAAATCATGTAGTTTAAATATTGATAATGTTTATGCAAACAAGTCACATCAAGGTTGCTCGTCACAAAGTGATGATCAATATCGAAAACAATTGGGAATTCTAGAAGAAACGTCGTATTATCTCAATGGTACAGTAGATGTGCGACAAAGTTCAGTGGAATACGTTTGTAATCACGACTTATGCAATGGAAAAAACGCGTATAAGAACGTTATTCAACTGTTGATGGAATACAATTTAATGCGTAATGATACGTCGACAAAGCCGATTATTTCAGCATCTAACATAGAGGGATCAGTTCATAAAGTATTGTTATTTATACTATTCATTTTTCATTTAATCTTTTACGAAGACATTTAACAAAAAATATTTTTACATTTCGACTGAAAATTTACATCCTGATCTAGAAAACTGTGACATTTCAGGGTGGAATTGTGGTCGATTTCCTAATGCATAGAGGTTAAATATGTGTTAAGATTGAGTTGTAATGAATTTTCCGGTGAAAGTGTTTTACTTGTTCACATATGTCTTATGCTGAGTTTCATCTTTGAAATACTATGCTGTTTCGTTTGTCTGTTGTTATTGTAATATAGTAAATGGTGTTGTTTCTGGGATGGATTGGTTATATCTACTGATTAGCGTTGGTGTCAACCATGGAACTCACTGACCAGTGATATATAATGTTTGATTATTTATGAATAAAATGTGATGTATATTTAGTCAGTTGACTATATTGCTGCAACTGGTTTAGTTCATCCTACGTTCACTGTTTTTGTTGCTATTCTTGTCATTTTTAAACTGTATCGTTTGTTACAATTGCTCAAGTTCATCTTGTATCAAGACTAATTTTTCTACAGCTGCAATGTCTGCCAACTCGTTCAACTGTTCTTAGTCCCATCGATCTGTTGGATTCATCATTTCTAAGTCATATGATCGATCGCTTCTTTCTTGACTTCTGCATCGTCGTTGTTGACAATTTTGCTGTCATCGATTGAAGACGATCATAATTTCAATTATGATTAAATCCTAGTTCTCAAAGATTATAAATATTATTACAACGAAATTTAGTTTGAAACACATATGATTGAAGTACAAAATTTTTCATTGTTTTTTGAGAATCAAAAAATTAAAGGATTTGGCTGTGACCGAAGATGTCTTTTCGTCAGGGATACATTCATATTTCGCCCTCCTACGATAAGAAATTATTTATTACAAGGATAGTTTTGATGCTTTGGTCTTTTATTTTTCTCTAGAATAAATGTATGTTCAGAACTGAGTGCCGTGTTCGTGAAAATGTTCAACGTAAAATTACCGGAGAAATACTTGTTCGGCAAAGTCGCTCTAAACCATCAATATTTATCTTTCATCTTGAAAATATTCTTTACTGAATGTGGATACAGCATTGCCTGGAAAAAACGATCATATATTAGTTTCTGTGATGCTTTAATACTTGATGTTTTAATAACAAAATGCAGACCACTTCCGAAGAACTTTCCTCTCGCAAACTTTGTGAAAACTATTATTTATTCTCTTCTATATCGAAAATGATCTTATTTAGCTACAAGTTTTTCGTATTATGCACAAAGCATGCCATAATCGTTTTCATAAATTTTAAGTTCTCTTCTCTAATATAAAAATATCTGTTCCTCAAGTTAGGCTTTTGTTTTCTCAAGTGGTTCTAAACGATCATTGACTATTCTCATTTTCAAGACGCCTATTTTTTTCAGTTATCAGTGTTTCACAGGAGATGAAAGCGTAAAATCATGTGTTTTGTAATTTTATTGCTCCGTTTAATGATATACAAAGAATGACCGTACTCGCAGGTTCTTATCTTGCCAACTGGTTGTAAATTATCACTCAGCATCTATAAATTTGAAAAAGAGCATCGTTCGAAGTGACTATACAACTCGCCAAACAAGTGAATATAAAAGAATGATTTTGAAGATTTTTATGATTAGCTTAGATTTATTGAAAGGACGTAGCGCCTCGCACCAATTTATTCTAACGTATTTTTCTTCATCTTTCGATCCGAAAAAGAACATTATTCGAAGTGAGCATAGTGTGTCCCATAAAAAGTACGAAAAAAGGATGAATGTCTGAGATGCTATTCTGCAATACTTCATCATTGTAGCATAAGGATCACTCAAGAGAAACATGTGGTTCTAGGAAGTTTTTATTTAGACGTACCCTATAGGAGATCGTCAAACACGCAGAAAAGATCTGTCGCCCCCAAAATGATGCCAGAAGAGCATGAAATGGGATCAGCTGAATCTATAACATCTCTCAATAAAGATAACACAATGACATCGAAGCAGAAAAAATATTTCAATTGGCTTAAGCTTGGTATTTCGGCCCTTTTCCTTTGATTTTTGGTATATTCACCGTTGTATTCACCTTGAAACAAGATTCCATTGCACGTATCAATCGTGAACATGATCAATCTTTGGCCAACGAATTAAGAAAACAGACTGTCTACGATACATATATTGATGATATTTCCAGGCTACTTCTTCGGCGTGATTTCAATCGATCAGATTCTAGTTATTTGAAAATTATTCGTACAAAAACACTGAGCACTCTTCGACAACTAGAGATCGAACGTAAACGTGAGATAATTCTCTTTCTCTACGAAAATGAATTGATTCAAAATAATAAATATCCAATTGAAGAACTGGTCGCACTTGATAACGGTGATCTCATTGGAATTGAATTTAAGCATTCCATGACGTTCAGGTGTGAGCTTGTGAACTTATATCTAGCAAGTATTCTGGTTTCCAACATTATATTTAATGATTGCCAATTAAGAAATGCTGACTTCAATGGAGCTTCGATGGTACAAGCGACATTCAATGATTCTATCATGTCCTCTGGAAATTTCATGAATTCTGATCTAACTGGTGCTAGTTTCAATGAGAACAATATGCGAAATATCAAATTTGCAGGAGCAACACTCACGCGAGCCAGAATTTGTAATTCAATATTGGAACAAGTTGACTTTACGAATGCAGATTTAATCGAAAGCAATGCTAATATTGATCAGCTTATGATTCCGATTGGTGAAAAGGCGAATATTTTTATTAATACTCGATTTCCAAACGGTTCTTTCAGTGCCATCAATCGTTCTCAACTGATTTTAGATGGCAGTGCTGAAGAGATGGTATGAGATCTCAAAATGACGAGTCCTTTTGTATTTTTGACATCATATTGTGGATTGAGGAATTTGATTTTAGAATATATCGTAGGGGAAATCTCGAAAACAGGAAGAATCAGGAGCTGAGTGAGGATTTTTTAGATTCAGAATTTCTCAAGGAACCGATATGAATGCGAATAGGGTGTGGATGTGGGACGTAAGAATTTATGATATTTTAATCCAAATGTCACCCACGCCTACACCCTCTAGTTAGCAAAGAAATAGAAGTGTAATGTACGTCCATGATTCGTCGAAGTTATTCATTTGGAAAAACTGGGTGAAAAGTCAATTGTTTTTTGTATTCTAGCAGACTTTTTTTTTTATCACTACGTTACTTATCGTCATGACCAGACACAGTACTGGCATGAGTTCTGGTTGATCATTAGAGCGTTTCAATAGTTGCCTCTAATATGCTGCGTCTTTTTGTTGGCAACTCTCATGAATTTTTGGGTTTGGTGGAAAAGGCAGAAAGGGAAAACGTCGAAAAAAAAGGAAAATGCCGAAAAGGAAAACATAGGAGGGGAAAATGCAGAAATTCTAAACGTCGAAAGAAAAAATTAGAAAAAGGAAAACGTCGAAAGGTAAATGTCGAAAATTGCGTTTTTTGATAATTTTAACGAAAAATAAAAATTTATTCGATCATATGATAAATTACAATAAAAAAAAGAAAACTAAGTTTATCAGTATTATTTTTTTTTGTGTGATCCAAGTAGTAATGCTAACCCTTTCAATAATTTCTTTGCATTGATTACCAAATCAAAAGAAAAAATTTTCGTTAGCTATAGACATCTTTTTCATTCTACGCTTTCCTTTTCAAAATTCTTCTACTTTTTTTCTCTGGCAGTTTTTCTTCGGCACTGTTATTAATTATACTTTTTGCATTCGACATTTTCCTTTTCGGCGTTTTTCCTTTCTGCCTTTTCCGCCAATTCCGAATTTTCTACATTAACTGAATATCTATCAGGCGTAGGCATCCTGAATTCACATGATACCCAATTTGTTATGTACTAGGTATAAGTCGCACATAAATCTAAGATTAATTACAAAGCTAAATAATTATTCTAACATTCACTTTCACCTTTGTAGTGTACAACGAAAACAACACCATGGAAAACTGCCGTCGGCTTCGAGAACGTAACAGCGATCAATACAGGCAACGAGTCTAGTACTCCATTGGCTCCCATCGATGGTCATTATTTTTTTAATTGTAGTTGGAATAGTCAAGCGGAACAACTAGTTCATATTCAACATTTTTCACTGCTAATTGATAATGAACAAGCTTGGTATAATCTATCGGCTCATTTTGCTTGTATCTCTACGAATCAAAACGATAAAGCTTATGTTCAAATTGAATATGTTACGGACGAAAATGCTGATATTGATTCTGTTCGACTAGGTAAAGCAGAGACGTGTCTTTTTTTCTGTTAATGAACTATGTGTTTTTGATAAAATTTAGAATCAGACAAAGGTCTATCATCCTTTCATTTCAAGTATCAAATTGGACTTATTCCAAGTGGTGCTCGAGACTTTTCAGTCAATATCGGAGCTGATATTGAAAGAACAAGCACAAACAATATTAGTGCGCCGTATTGTGCCATCGATAGCGTCACATATTTTATCTTCAAGAAGGAAGACAAGTAATTGCAGCAAACAGAATTCAGTTAATCTTCAAGAATTGTCTTGCATGAAAATACAATGTTTTTCTTAATCAATAAATTCAATCTGATGCTTGCAGCTGAGAACGCAGACACCTTTTGGTTTCGAAATGGATGAAAACTCTATGTGACGAATTCTTGATGCTGGAAACAAGATCATGTGTTGGTATATGACGAACTAATTTTCTTCTATCTGCGATTAATGCGTCCGATCGAACGTCATAAAAACGACTAATTTTAGACCAATCAGTATCTATTTAGATTTTGGTATTTTCACTCAAATCATTCTCAGAAGAAAATAATCAGCTCCTGGAGCTTTTCTATCTACTTTTTATTTTTTAAATTTCATGGCATGTATTTAGAAAAGTTTGATGTATGGTGGAGAAGGTAAATTAGCATCTGTATTACTATAAATAGCGGCTTGTTTAAATGGACATGGCGTTTCTCGCCAAAGATAACGAAGACCATAAAGTTGTTTTCCAACGCATGAACTGTCCAATGTTAATGTTATTGTCAATCCAATTTTACTTAATACAGTTGATGGAACCCATAAAGTATCATTCGAACAATGACTACCTTGACAACAAACCTGAAAAAATTAAAATATACGAAATTACATAGATACTAAAACAAAGAAAAAAAATAGACCTCAAATCCATTTGGATTACGTAGTTCGATATTTGATACAGCAGTATAAGTGATGTTGATAGTTTGACTGCCACTTGAATAAGCAACATTTTGTACAATAGGACCTTGAAATTCAATTTGTTGTCCATAAGCGACTGCAAGACCAGAACGAGAGAGTCGATATCCTACATCAAGTTTAGTTCGAGGATGAATACTAAACTAATCAATAATTGTAGATGATAAATAGAAAATCTTCACGTACCCATTAGGATCATCACGTAGATCTAAAGCGACAGCCATAAATACTTTTGGAACAACATTATTTGGAACATAGCCAACATTAAAGGTTTGTTGCCATCGAAGCATTGGAAATCCTCCAACATATGCTGTATTGTTCGTGTTTGTTGATAACTATAAACGTATTAATCAGTTTCTCTATGTAGAAATATAATTCTTAATGATTTCAAGTAAAGCTTACTTGAACGAAACCAAATGGAAATTGAATATCAGCTATTCCATTTGTGCGTTCATTCCATGTTTGTCTCCAATATTGAATCATTTTTGCAAATTTGCAAGCATATGTAGGATTACCAGCATTTGCTTCACCTAAATGAATAAAATTCAAGATATTTTTTGTAATATATAAAAACTCTATTGTTTACCTTGATACCAGATAGAACCATAGATAACAGTACGAGTAAATGGATAGATCATAGCATTAAATAAATTCGAATGATTCACTGGCACTGTTACGGAAGGCCCATTATAGGGTTGTATTTTCAGGTGTTCATTTCTGTACGAAAGGGAAAAGAAATTAATTAAAAACCGAATCAAATAGTATTTAGAAGTTATACGTTGTGGCATTGCAATCTTGTAATGCTTTTGGTGGCATCCAAAATTCAATAGGTGTTCCACCCCAACTAGTAGCGATAAGACCAATGGGTCGACCATTTAGTGCTTGATGAATCATACGACCATATAACCAACATACAGCTGACATATAGTTCCAATCTGGTCCACCGACAGTGTGTGGTGATGCTACTGACCAATTTAAATTAATACCCAGTAATTCTTCAACAGGTAATGCTGATGGCATAAGTGAAGCAGTGAACAGTCGTATTTTAGAAAAATTTCCTGCATTTTTAATTTCTTCTGTCGCATTGAACATCATGCTCACTGTAAATTGCATATTTGATTGGCCTGAACAAACCCAAACATCACCAAAGAGAACATCATGAATTGTAATTGTTAAAAGTGTTCCATTAGGCAATGATTGTGAAACGTGAATATCGAATGGTCCTTCATCAGACACGGGATCAAGTGTTACTGACCATATACTTTCACCTAGCTGATTCGCTGGTTCTGATCGACTAATCGTTGTATAGATTTTATTATTCATTCTAAGAGTCGTTAGTTTTCCTGCAGCTCCAAATCCCCATACGATCGATTTTTGTGGAGCTCGTTGAAGTACCATATGATCTTGAATGTAGTTGGCAAAACGAAGTAACCCATTGCCTAAAAAGTATACCAACTGTTCATGTTTCTGTACTCTAGAAATCGATTAATGCTTACATTGAATAATGAGAATTAAAATTACTAGCAACTCAAGTCGGAGAGCACTCATCTTTATCTTGTGAGCTGAGTTTTTTTCTTTTTCATTATAAATATAGAAAAGATAAAAGTGTGGTTGCACATTATCTATTTCTTTTACAGGCATGCGAGGTTTAGATAAAGAAAATGAGAAGAATTCATGATATATCTTTTGTCGAAGGAACTATTCGTGTCTCTGTTATCAGACGAAAAGATTGAAGAGAGGGCCTGGGTGTGAGTGTTCTTCTTTCATAGACATCCACAATCTCAAGGAATATCCATATTGACCATAATCTATTACTACCAATGTTTTCGTTATTATATTTGTTTGATTTCCATCGATCAGTTGGTTATTATTATTATCAAATAATTCTACGATAATTAGTTGCTTTTCAGTATTTGATGAGACTTCAGTCTGGCACTTTCGATGATACTTATTTAATTTATTTTCTTTGATTATAGCATTTGCAGCATTATCTATTGATAGATTAGATGAAGTAATTAAAAACAGATGGAATAAAATTATGCGCTCAATTTTGTAGATACCTTATTGTCGCAACTCTTTCGATTTCGGCAAAATAATTTTCCATCGATTGATAAAATTGCAAATAACCTTCACATCTATCATATTTCTCTCTTTTATTTTCATAGCGCTCTTGAAAATCAATTTCACGTGAAAAAATCAAATTTTCCAAAGAAATCTTTGAATAAACGGATTGACCAATTGTATAGTGGGAAAATTAAGAGAATATCTTTTGTCAGTCTCCATCATTAATATGTATATGAGAACAATAAATCGGCAGCATAACCGACGAATATTGTTCAATTTGCATCTATAAATCAATCGGATGCATGGTTATTTCTCAATTGAATAGACATTTGTAGAATAATGGCATGCATTTCAAAAGTAAACTGTTTTTTATTATCATATAATACTAAAGCTATTTTTTACTACTTGTAGATGCTTACATTGGAAAATCATTTTCCTGCTTCATCAGAGACAGATGATCCGTATTTTGAATATTTTCCCGGCCTTGAATTGATGGAACAATGGCACAAGGAGTTTGAGTATACAGCTCAATTGCTTTTATTTTACAATCTCGTATTGCTTCTATTTGTTGTCACATTCTCTGATGAATCTTTAAGAAAAATGCTTTTAATATTGGATTCTATTTGTTTCTTTTTAATAGCTTTTCTCTGCATTCTAATTTGTCGACGTTGTCTAATCATGATGAAAAAAGTATTCCATGAAGACTCCTTTTTCTTTTCTTAAATAACTTATTCTTTCTTTTTTGTTATCAGTTTACAATAAACTCTTGTTCAAATAAAAATATATCCAAATAATATTTTTATCTCAATGTAAATTATTCTATTGGATACATATTTAGAAAGAGAAGAAACATTGCTATCATTGCCTCTCTAAAAGCATACTAATTTTACAACGATAAGAAGAATGGATGTACAACAGATAGATATGGTATGAAAACAAAATAGATCGATAACAAAATAGAGTCAGGTATTTTAGTTCTTCCATTTGTAAATTAGAAAATTAGAAAAATCATATATGTAACTATGACTAATGATGAACACGAAGTTTCCTTACGGAATGTTGTTCGACGAGCAAAATTGAATGATCAATTTAAAGCAATGAGAGCTAGTGAGTAACTGCTAATCTGTCCGTAGTATATGTCATCCCAATATTTAGAACGAGACCGTCGTCTTCAATAAACATATGTGATTGTTATGGATCTCGTTTTTTACTCATGATTCTCGTTCTTGTATATGGTGGATGTTTTTTGTTGCGTACATGTTTTTTGTGGTTCTCTCCTTTTGGTAGTTTATATTCTGCAATAAACAGAACAAACATTTCTTTGGTAATGAATGGGAAAATGTTTGCCATTGCGTGCTCGTAAGCAATCAATCTTCTTCGATGGATGTGAATGCGTGATCCTGAATGTCTATTCGGTGATATTGAGTTGAACCCACACCCACATTCTCAGGTAGTATGTTCTGCTTCAAAGAATACTACAGCTCAAAACGATTCCCTTCCGAAAGTTCCATATTATTCTTGAAAATAATCCGAATTATTTTCAAAAACTGTACTCTGAAATATACGATTTCTCTAGTCGTTTCTCAAGCAAAGTATCCACGTACTGTTTGTCAATGAGCTTTAGGAGTGTAAGATCATTTATTATAAATAATATAGTGAATCAACCTTTTACTAGATTAGAAAATATCACGAAAATTGAAACATATGGAGATTGGAGAATAAACTTCCAACATTTATGTGTGTTCATTGATGAATGTTTCTAGCTGGCTTTCGTAGAACAGGCGATATGGATCATTCTCTGAATAGATCTGTGCAACAATTTTTAAGATCTCTTTCATACCCATGTCGCCTCTTTTTTATCAACTGTGCCGCAGTTACGCGTAGAGCCAATTCTGCGTCGCAGTTACGCGTAACTACCCAGGTCGAGTAATCCAAGAG